TATAACTTCAACTTTCTTCCTTCTGTCTTCCCTCTTTTTCCTTCTCCTTCCTTCTTTTCCTCCCTCCTTCCTTCAATCTAACCCTCTCTCCTTCTTTTTCCTTTCTCTTCTTTCCTCCCTCCTTCTCTCCTTTTCCTGCCTCTTCTTTCCTTCCTTTTTCCTTCTCCCTCTCTCTCTCTCTCCTTTCCTTCCTTCCTGCTTTCCTTCCCATCTTCTCCAGGACGCCCATTCAGGCCACCCAGCCTCTACCCAGGCCAGCCACCCCCTCTTTGGCCCGGGGCTGCCTCGCAACGCCCATCCTGCGCAGCCTCCCCCGGCGCTGAGCGGCCGCCGTTCTCTCCTGGTGGTCCCCCATCCCTCCCATCCTTCCCTCCCTCCCGCCCACCTTCCCGCCGGGGCTGTCCCGCCTTCCCCCGCCAGACTCCACACCCGGCCCGGCCCGGCTGCGCTCACCCGCGGGGCCGAGAGGCGCAGCCCCCTCCTCAGCGGGAGAAGGAGGAGAGGAGACCCCGCCGGCGCCCACCGGCTCAACCCCGCCGCCATCATGGCTCCCGCCGCCGCCGCGCTGCAGGCCCCGCCCCCTGACGACTACGCAGGCGCCGAGGCCCGCCAGGCCGCGACTAAGCCCCGGCCTGACGTAGCGCCGCCCACCCGGCATGGCCCTCTTCTTGCGGGCGGCGGCGCCACGGCAGCCCCCGGTTTCTGGTTCGGCCGGGCCGGAGGAAAGGCTTCTTCTCAATACAGAGTTCTTGGGGCTAGTTTGCCTCTAAGCATGCCCAGAGACCGCCTCTCCCCCTGCCATGGATGCCGAACTTTAATGGGGTGGGAGTGAAGGGGTCTCTGAGCATGCAAAGAGGGCAGTGTCACCCACCAACAAAGGCATCCTGCCTCCCTGCCGTGGATGCAAAGTTGTAACAGCATGTTAGGGAAGGGCAATCTGAGCCTGCACAGAGGGATCTCTGCCAAACAAGAGTGGGCAGCACAATGCCTCTGAGCATGCACAGAGAGCTTTTCCTCCTTGAACATGAGAAAGGCCACGAAGATCCTTTAATTTGGAGGGGATGGTACAAAAGGCTTCTTTCTTCCCAAGGCAGAAAGAATTCTGAAAAGACCTCGTGCCTCTGAGCGTGTACAGAGTGTTTTCTTTCCCACAACCCCAATTCTTCTAATCTTTGAAAACCAGCCACCCAAGTGGCTATAAATGGGGGATATATATGGGGTGACCCATCAAGCAACCCCACCCTTCCCCATAAACTGGTTTCAAGTCAGTTTCCGGGGGGGGGGCATGTAGACAAGCCACTATGGGAGGGGCCAGAAATGGGAGGAGCTTGTCCTGGGTGGTCACAATGGGAGTCTGTTGTGCGTCCGGTTGCCAGTCTGGGGCCACCGGGTCACAATGGGGCCCTTGACTTGGGATCCTGACCCCAGGGGCCACTCATCCCTGGCCAGATGCCACCCAAGATCCGGAGATCGCCCAGGGACCCCGCTGCCTGCTTTGGGGCAACGCTAAGCCTGCTTGGATCCCCCTTTATAGCTTCATCCAAACTTCGCCCTCGAGGAAACATGACCCCCTCAAACAGCGAGTGAGCCTCCGCAGCGCCATCTGGGCAATGCTGCCCGTGGCAGCTGGCTCACCTGAGGCTAAGCCAACAATCGTGGTTTGCTGACCTCTGGTGGCCAAACCTGGCACACCCCAGATCCTTCCCCATTCAGGCCGGGCCAACTCATTTGGGTCCCTGGGATGCTTGCTGGCAGAGAGAAAACTAAAACACTTCCCATTAAAAGTTAGCACTCCAGATGTTTCGCCAGTCCAAGATCACTCGGAAGGCGAGAGAAATGGGAAATAAAAGTTGTGAATGCTCCAACATGGGAAGTTTTGAAGAGACTGGACAGCCATTTGTCTGAAATGGTATAGGGTTTCCTGCCTGAGCAGGGGGTTGGACTAGAAGACCTCCAAGGTCCCTTCTGATGTTATTATTATTAATTTTTAAAAATGGAAAGGATGGGAAAATGTCATTTTTTTCCTCTTCTCTGCTAGAGCAACCCTCGCCCGCCGCGAGATTTTGAGCACCCGTCCTCGCTACTGCCCGCAGTGCTCCTGAGTTTGAGGGCGCCAGCCCCAACCGGCGCAGCCCCAGCGGCCCGGCAGACTGGCTGAGCCCGACTGAGATCTACAAGGTAAGACCTACCAAAACTCGGGTTTCAAACCAAGCGTGGCTAGCGGGAGGGGATAATGGGCACTACTGGGAATTCCGAATCCACCTTTTCAAACTTGGTAACTTTTAAAATGATTGGACTTTGACTCGCTGCTTTTTCAAATTGGCCAACTTTAAGAGGACTGGATTTCAACTCCCAGAATTCCCCAGCCAGCTGGAGTTGAAGTCCAAGTGGCCAATTTGAAAACAAAACAAAACACTACACTGCCAGACTATTATTATTCTCTTTTAGAAGCAGACAAGTGCTTTTAAAAAAAAAGGAAATAATTAATGGAGAAGCGTGCAACTTTTCACCCTAACGTCTGAATCGCCTAACCGGCGTTTTATGCAATTTCCCTTTTCCCCCCAAACAGGCTGCCAACCTCACTGTTTTTGCTAGCGACCGTCAACACCCGGATCAGCCAGTGCAGCTGGATTTTCACTTTGCCCGCGGCAGCCAGGGCGCCAGCCACTGGCATGGTCTTCTGCATGGACGCACTCTTTTCCTGGACACCCCTCGGCTGGCGCTGGACTTCAACAGCCGTGAAAGGTGAGGAGGTGGAAGTGGCATGTTGGTTAGGAGGACAAGGAAAGGGTTGGCCTCCGGAGGAGAGGGAAAACTTGGTTTAAAAAGCAGGAAGCAAGTTGCTAGTTCTCAAGATCCTTAGCAACTCGCCAGTCGGAATCCAGAAATCAATGCTCCACATTCATTCTTGCTCTCTAGCGCTAGTTACGTTTTTCTCTGGAATTATAGTCTTTGACAATCATTCATTTAGTGACTGTTCCAGATCACAGGGCTGGAAAAAAAAGGGACTTAAGACCAGCTCCCAGACTTATAACCGTCACAGCATTTTCACGTGACCAAAACTGGGATCACCAGCGTGTTGTTTACGACAGTTGCAATGCCCTGTGATCATTTGCGACCTTCTCATCTAACCAGCAAAAACTTCAATGAACGACTTGTGTTGCAAAAGAGAGGTCCCAAAATCAGACTCACTTAAAAACTGCCTCGCTTAGCGAGGGGAATTCTGGCCGTTAAGCCGAGGACTAGCTGTGTGCTGATTTTCCAGAAGACTCGGGTCGTTTTTCCGATCAGGAGAGTCGGAAATCTTTGCTTTGTAAGATTGTGCGATTACAAAACCTGGTTTGCTGACCACACACTTGCCTCCGATCCTATAGCTTGACCGCCACGCTGGAATACACCGAAGAAAAAACCGACGCAGAGCAGGTGCTGGTGAACTTCCGAAAGACTCGGCGAGACCGAGGTAAAAAAACAACTTTTTTGGGGGGGGGACTTTTAAGTCGGGGGGTTTGGCCCGAGAGTGAATTTCCCAGCCTCGGAAAGGAAAATCATGTTTTGTGAGTGCCTTAATTAATCCAAATTATAAAGGGAAAAAAAAGGGAGTCGTAAGAATGAAATTAAAAGGAGGGTCCCCATAATAGGTTGGTGAAATACAGGTGGTCCTCAACTTACGACAGCCGAGCCTGATTTTACGATTTTTCTTGCCTAAACAAACTGCTATAAATTGAGGACTACCTGTAACTTGTCAGCTGGCACCCGACCCTCGCAAAGAGAGGCGGGAAGGCGACAAAAGCTGAGGGTCCCCCCCCCTGCATGAATCCGAGGCGCAAATCCGAACCCCAGAAAGTAGCTCCGGTCGTCCCTGCACCGCTAACCCTGCTTTTCCCCCCCCTTCCTCCAAGGCGACTTGCTACGAGCTTTCGGCTTCTTGGGATTCGAACTCGTGACCCCCGGCCATCCCGGCCTGCCCCCCTGGGAAGACACCATCTTCATGGCTTACCCCCTGGAACGTGATCTCGGCTGGAATCCCCAACCCAAGCAGGAAGATGCTGGTGGGGCCTAGAGGCAGGAGGGGGGCTCCCCCGGTGCCGATGGGGACCCCCGTTCGGAGCAGCTTCATTTCAGAGCCTCCCCCCAAAAAAGGCATTAAAGTGGCATGAACACTTAGCAGTTTATGACTAGGGAGGGAGGGAGGGAGGGGTAAGTTACGGTAGGGGAGAACCTCACCCTTTCCTTGCCTCCCCCCCCAAATCTTCCATCCCATCCCATGGGAGAAAATTGGGTTCAATTTGCGGGTGCCATCCTTGCCCTTTCTCCCCGCAACTCACAACTCCGGCCCCCACTGGCTGGGTCTTCTCCCCACCCCACCCCGCATTTTTAACTCTTGGGAAGAGGAAGTGCTAAATATCAGCCTTTATTTCAGACAAAAATATAAACTGAGATATCTCCACTGAAAAGTCACAGCAGCCCATCTTCGTTGCTGCCTTTTGAGTTTTAACACTCTGGGTGGCTCGCAAAACCAAACTTAATTCTTGCAAAACAAAATCTCCCTTCGTCCCCGTATTATCCCTGTCCTTTTAGACCCCCATACACACACACACACCCAGTTTTGGACCAACAATGCAGGGTGTGTGCCAGGCATCGTGGCTTATTCCAAAGAAACACAGGCTGCCCCAACTTTTCCAGACAGGTGGGGACCACAAAAAGGGTTTAAGGTAAGAAACCAGGGATGGATCCAGGGTCTTAACAGCCCAACGTGAACATAAACTCGGGTTTGGGGGCAGAAACAGCCAGCCCACCCCCCTCGTCTTCTGTGCAACTTTCCCAGAGAAATTCTGTCAAAACTCAGCTCGCCATTCAAAAGCTACCCCAGTGCACCCAGCCGGTGCTGGGGGGGGCTGCGTGTCCCCCACAAGATTCCAAACGGTCCCTCCGGCGGGTGGGATCTTCCTGTGGCCCCTCCAAGATCTGAACCAAAGGAAGGACAGAAGTTAAGACCCGCTCTGTGCAAAAACAACAACAACAACCCCCAAACCCCTTCCATAAGGGTTGGATCTGGGGTGCAAATTGCAGTTAGGGCAGCCCCAAAATCCTGGGGCTGGGGAACCTGGTTTAGAGCAAGCCATTATGGATTAAATTTCCCTGAACTAAAGGTGGTTGATGGTAGATGGGACACCCACCCCGTTCAGAAGGTGGAAGGTCTCTGAACACCCCAAATGGCTCTTTTCAAACCTAAGGATTCTCGGAGAAGGCCAGGGAAATCTGGACGGGAGGGGCTGGGGTCTGCCAAAGCTGAGGGTCCCACGCTGGGACCAAGCAATCCAAGACCCCCTCCCGCCTTATTTTGGGTGCACAACACCACAAAGTGCCGCTCCCTCCTCACCCACCTCTTCCTGGGACCTCCGAGGCCTCATAGCATCACCGTGTTCTCCTCCTCTTCCGACAGGGAGGCCGTTTCTGCAGGATGGAGAGACAAAAGATCAGAGTGGGGGGGTGAGGTAGGAAATGAGGGGCAGAGCTGGAAGAAGCCCCCCCCCAAGAAGTCAGGACTTGGTTAGCCAGGGGAAAAAAAATGGGTTGAAAGAAAAGTGCCAGCTGCTTGATATAGATAGATAGATAGATAGATAGATAGATAGATAGATGAAAGAAGGAAGGAAGGAAGGAAGGAAGGAAGGAAGAAAGGAAGAAAGGAAGAAAGGAAAGGAAGAAAGGAAAGGAAGGAAGGAAGAAAGGAAGAAGGAAGGAAGGAAGGGAAGGAAGAAAGAACGAAAGGAAGGAAGGAAGAAGGAAGGAAGAAGGAAGGAAAGGAAGGAAGGAGAAGGAAGGAAGGAAGGAAGGAAGGAAGGAAAGAAAGAAAGAAAGAAAGAAAGAAAGAAAGAAAGAAAGAAAGAAAGAAAGAAAGAAAGAAAGAAAGAAAGAAAGAAAGAAAGAGAAAGACTCAGTATTACTGTATTACATTAGGGGGGGAAATTTTGAGCCCTTTTGTCTGACCCAACCAGGTGGCCCTCTGCAGTTGTGGGTCCTTAGGATCACTTTCTAATTGTCAACTCACGTACAGAACGGGGCTGGCGTAGGACAAGCTGAGCGGCGTCTCCTCAGCACTCTGGCGCCTACCTGACAGATTCTCTAACGACGTCCCTGCAAGGTTGGCCTAGAAAACAAGCAGAGTAACAGCTTGGAAGGGGACGCCAGAGTTAGTTTTGCACAATCGACGGCAGGTCTACCCCAAACCCCCACCAGCTCTCTTCTCCTTGGACGCAGGAGGCACCTCGGGGTCCGCAGAAACGTTAAATGGGGAGGGGGGAGTGAGAATGTCGGGGAGCAGCAGACACCCCCCTCCGAAAACATCAACCAGGGGGAGACTCAAAACCTTGTTATATTTGGCTTGTTTGCTGCGTCGGGAACCCCCTTCCGTCCTGAAGTTGGCAAGTCAAAACCAAAGCAGGTTTATTTTTGCCGTTAGAACATTCCTGCCTCTGAGGTCCCTTTCCAGCTGTATTGTCCTATCCGCGGCAAGACAGGCCGCATGTGGACTAGCCACATAGCCACCCGCCTGCCAAATCAGCTGGCCCCCAAAGAGGCCGGATCCGTAGCCCGATCACTAACCAGGTTTCCGGGCAGGTCCCTCGAGGCTTCCCCGTCCCCGTCCGACAACTTCTGCACGGCGTAGCCCAACCGGATCAGTTCCTCTCCCACGTCGACAAACTGGGGAGAGAAGCCGGGCTGAAAACCCAACCTCGTTAGGCGAAAACCTCACCTGGAAAGCCATTGGTTTTCCCAAGGAAGGTCCAAGCCAGGATGGGTCTCACCTGCCCGTTGGCGGGCTTGAACAGACGGACGTACGGCCGCACGCTGCTCCCCACGGGCTGGTAGGTGCAGATCTTGCAAAACAACAACTTCCACTGGGCGCAGTGGGTGAGGCGGTCAAACTCATCCAGGGCGGCCTCTTCCCAACACGGGCCTGGGAACCATCATCGTCCAGGTCAGAAGGGGAATGCAGGGTTAAATTTCTAACCCAGGTCTCCGATGCCCCCCTTGGCAGGGGCTCCGCTGCAAAAGCTGGGTGGCTGTAGCTGTCCCAGATTCCCCCAGCCAGCCAGCCGGTTTTTAAAAGGGGTGGGACTTCAAACTCCCAGAATTCCCTAGCCAGCCAGCTTTTAAGAGGGTGGGCTTCAAACTCCCAGAATTCCCTAGCCAGCCAGCTTTTAAGAGGGTGGGCTTCAAACTCCCAGAAACATGGCTGGCTGGGGGAATTCTGGGAATTGAAGTCTGCGCACTTTTAACGCCACTAAGATTGAGAAACAGTATCCTGGGAGGAAAAATCAATATTAATCTGGGGGGAAAAAGGACTCACCGGCAGGGGCCACACCAGCGAGGCTACACTCGATGGCCTGGAAGGGGAGGCCAAGGAAATCACCCCTTCCCCCCAAAAAAAGAAAAAAAAAAGGGAGGTTAAGAGGTGGAGGAGGAGGAGACCCCATCCTGGCCAGCGCACCCCAGTTCTCGCCCTTCCTAACCGCCTCCTTTCCCCCACCACCCGAAGTCTCTAACACTCCAGCTTGACTTTCAAATCAGGACAAAGTGAGAGTCACCCCAGTTATGCGGGGTCTCCGTACCGTTGGCCAGCCCCTCCACTAAGCGAACGGTCGTATGCCAAGGACTACAGGCAGGTCACCGTGATCGCGTCGCCCTGGCAAACTGGGCTTTGTTCACCCAGAGCCAGAAGCCCGGTTGACGTCCTCCCGAGACCTTCAAAAACCACCATGTCCCCACAACGCCGAGGACCCCAAGTTCTAGCTCCTAGTAGTGGGATCTATGACACACACCCCCGGTCCAGCCCTCACCGCAACAGCCGAAGCTTCTCCAGGGGCGCCTCCCCGTTGTCCCCAAAGTCTACGTAATAAAGGTCCAGGTTGCCGTTGTCCAAGATCCCCAAGACCTCGGCCCGATACCAGGAATGGTCTTCCAGATAGTAGGCCGCCACGATGTCCCCCACCTGCACGCTTTCCAGCTGGGGAGGGGGGAGAGAGACACAAGGAGAGGGGTGACGCCCGGGAATGGGGAACCACAGCTTTCCCGCCTTGGGGTTCACCATCTCCCCACTTCTGGACGGGGCCTCACCTCGCCGTCGTCGCTGCCGTCGTAGTATTTGGTCATCTCCTGGACGAGCTTGTCAAGATAGAGGGCCTTGGTGCCGATAATTTGGATCCAGAAATGGCTGGGGCTCTCCGAGGCCGAGATGTAGACCTCCAGGTGATCCTTGGCCTGGAGGTTGAAATCCGGGCTGGGCACTGAGCGGGAAGGAAAAGGCGGATGGGTTAGGGGGTCCCCCAGTCAGCCTTTTGGGTCTCCCAACTTAAGTCACACGGCTCCCTCCGTTGACTCTGCTGGTCAGAAAGTTTGCAAAAGGGGATCACGGCACCCCTCCCAGGACACCGCAACCCATCATAAAGACGAGTCGGTTGCCGAGGGTCCGAATTTTGATCACGTGATGCTGCAACGGTCGTAAGTGTGAAAAAGGGTCCTAAGTCCGGTAACTCTGGTCACCAAAAAAATCCCTTGCAAGCCAAGGACCGTCTGCGCTGTCCTAACTCTGCAGGGTCCTCTTAAGCTGCAAGGTCCAGGCCGGTCCTCCAGGTCCCGAAGCAGTCTACCTGGGTGACGAAGGGGGAGCGCCCCATTTTTTTTTTTATTTTGGGCTCACCTTCCAAGACGGAGCTCAGCGCAGGCCAGGGGTTTATTGGGGCCCCCGCTCCGCTCGATTCTTGGGGATCTCCTGCAGGATAATCGGGGGGCCCGTCGCCAGCCTCTTGGGGGAGGTACTCAGCATCCGGCGCTCGACCGGGAGGTTCTGAGTGCGAGTAAGGCCGCTCTCCCTGGTCGCCAGCCGCCATCTCCCTCCGGGTGCCCAGCGGCTGTTTCCGCTGCATACGGGACATGGCCGCTTGCGACAGCTTGTTGCGGAAAGCTTCGTCCTCCAACAGCTTTTCCCGGATCAGTTCCTGCTGGCACAAACTTCGGCCTCAATGGAGTCGAGGACTACCTGTCCCATAAGCCACACCTTCCCACTGAGACCCGCTGCTTCAAGTCCCAGCGGCTGCGCGCTCCCAGGGTGCCAGGTTGGGGGAGAGGGAAGCCCAGCCCGGCAAGGATCTCACCTTGGCGGCCTGGACCTCCTTGCGCGTCCCAGTGAGCGTGATGAGGCGGGTGAGCGACAGGACGCCCTCCTCCTCGCGGTCGCACTCGATCTTGGCCCCCGTGGTCCGGCAGATGGCCCGCACGCTCTCGCCACCCTTCCCTGGGGGAGGAAGAACAAAGGAGAAGGGAAAGAAACGGTGGGCTCTCCTGTTTCTTTGCAGGACATTTCACAACTTAACTAGGGAACATCACCAGGGCCAGAAGGGAGCAGGGTTTGCAAGCACGAGGACTTACGGTGTCCTTGCAGACGTTTCACGACCAAACTAGGCCACGTCATCAGTGCTACGCCCTTCCCTTTCCAAATCCCAGAGCTCTCGATTGCTGGCTTCCCAAGCCACTCAAAAATCAGCCTTGGGAAGCCCAGCGCGGCCTCAGGGTCTCCAGCGCGGGCTGGCGAAAGACCCCCGTCTACTGCTGCTGCTGGTGCCACACACCCCTCCCCTCCCAGGGGCTCTGGGGAGAACGAGGTACCGATGATGCGCCCGACGGCCCGAATCGGCACGGAGATCTTCTCCGCCACAGGCAGGTTCTCCTCCATGATCTGGTGGATGGCGGCTTTGGCCCTGCACACCTGGACGGGGGAGCCCGCGATCCGGATCAGCCGCTCCTCGCCGGAATCATCCAGGTTGATGTTGATGCGGGCGTGGGTGTCCTTCCGCAGCTGGGATGGGAGGAGGAGGAAAGAAACCTCGGAGGCTGGTCCGAAAGGGCCCCCGGGAGGGAGGGGGGTCTCCAGCCCACCAACCCACCTTCTCCCACTTGCCTGGTTCGCCTTGGCCCCCTGCCGCCCCAGGAGGAACTTCACGGCTTCCTGGGGCACCTTCATCACAAATTCGATCTCGTCCTCTCCCACAAAGGGGATCCGCTCTTCTGGGGGCACCAAGGAAGAAACCAAAGCTGGAAGACCCTACGTACAGTTGCGGACCTGCGCCTTTTTCGCCGAGCCCTGAAGGCCCATCTATTCCGTGCGGCCGGCCTGGCGTAGTTTGATTATGTTTTAGTGGGGGTTTTGTATGGGGTACTTTTAGAGCAGGCCTGTTATTTAATTTGATTTTAGAACAGAAACTTGCGTATATTTATCGTGGTTTTTATTATTGCCTGTTCACCGCCCTGAGTCCCGTAAGGGAGATAGGGCGGTATATAAATTCAATAAATAATAATAATAATAATAATAATAAAGACCCGAGGCTTCTCCAGTGTTGGAGGAGGAACTCAAACCTCCTAAAGAGTGAACGTGTAAGAAGCCCCCCCCCCAAAAAAGAAAAAAATCACACACACACACGCACGCTCACCTTGCTCCTCCCGGTATTGGCGGTACAAGATGTAGAGGATGGCAGCACTGGCTGGGATGCCCAGGGCCAGGGCGATCTTCTGCAGCCAGGTGAGGCCTCCGGCCCAGGTGCCCCGCTGGCCAGCCATGGCTCTGCAAAAGCTGCCTGTCTCCTTAAGGGGGGGGGAAACTTCTGAGCTTCTGGGGAGGCAGAAAAACAACACAATTGGGCCGCTTGCCAAGAGCTCGGCTTCCCAGTCACCCAAAGGGGTCGGGTGGGGGGGTCTCCTGGCCTCCCCCAGGGAGGGAGGGAGGAAAAAAGCCAGCAGCTCCAATTTCCTTCCCCTCCTGCAGATCTCCAGGGAATCCACCCACTCAGGCCTGGATCCTTCCTTCCTCCTCTCTCCCCCCCCCACCTCCAGCTTTGGAAACAAAACGGAGCATCTCTTTTATTTCTATATATTGCAATTCTGGATATTTTCTCCCACCCCCGCCCCAGATTCTGCTGAAAATCTGCGAATCCCAGAAGCCCCCTCCCCTCCCGCAAAGCGGCGGAGGGGGGGCTCCTCTCCCCCTCCCCCCACCCGTTCTCCCCTCCCCCCGCAAATAATCATCTAAAAACCCTTCGCCATTAGGACGTTGCTCTCCTTTCTGCAGACTGCGTATGCATGCTTGTTTGTTTGTTTGCGTGGGTGGGTGGGGGCCATTCCAGCCCTCCCGTTTCGCTACTGCCTCCTTGAGCCGCCTTCGGGGGCCGATAGACTGCCCCTGTCCCCGGAGGCTCCATTTCCCCAGGGCAACGAGAAAGGGAAGACTGCAAGCTTTTTCCTGGCCTGGCGTGTGTGTATGTGTGTGTGTGGGTCTTCGCCGCTTCTCTCTCTCTCCGCCTCCTGCAATTACCCCTCCCCTTAAGGAGGGCTGGGGGGGTCTCCCCCACTTAATTTCGGTCTATGCAGCCTGGAATTTTATTCACCTGTTACCTGTCTCTCCCCCTCCCCTCCGCATGCTAACAATTCAAACTCGGCTTGCAGCGTTCTCCTATCTCCCCCCCCCCCCACAAATGCTTGCTTGCAAGCGCGCCTCCCGGGCTCCACCCAAGTTCTCCCTGCGGTCCTGGCCGCTTGACGCCTCGCCCACGGCGCGAGCGCCCCACCTGCCCAACCGCCTCCTCGCGCCGTCCCCGCGCTCTGCCTCGGCGGGACCCGCTATTTATAGCCTCCCTCCCCGCCCTCTCGCCACGCGCGCGCCTTCCAGCCAATCGGCGGAGAGAGCTACCTGCCGACGGGAGGGAGGGGGAACTCGGAACCAATCGGGAAGCAGCGGAACGACGAAAATGGAACGTCGGGGGGAGGAGGAGGAGGAGCCCGGCGTTGGTCCTAATTAGCCAATCGGCGAAAGAAGGGGCAAAGGGGGGAACCAATCAGCAACGAGCGTGGGCGGGAGAGGGAGATTTAATTGTCGCTCCCGCCCGTCGCGAGAGGCAGGTGGTCTCTATCAGGCTTAAAGTATCCCAGAATGCCCTGCGCTTCAAGGGGGGGCTGCTGAGACTTCATTTATTACCCATAATGCCCTTAGCAAACCCATGATTGACAGTTGAGAAGGGATGCTTTTAATTGATATGCAAGTTTTAGGAGTTTGCACACAAAAACTAATCCTTTATCCTAAACTGACCATTTAATCAACAAATTTTTATTTGGGGGGGGGGGCAAAATATCCACTCCTCGGACCAGCTCTGTTGGCAGCTTGACCACCTTGCTATAAAAAAAACAACCCCAAATAATCCTGTGTGTGTGGGTTGAGAGGAGCACTAACCACAGTTTGCAGAATAAACCATCATATCTGGGATTCTTGCCTTGCATTAAGCCTTTATGAATGTCCCTGGCTGGATTTGCAGGCAGGCCAATCATAGGAAGCCTAAATGTTGAGTTTGGAGGGAAATAGTGGCCACACCCACCCTCTCCATGTATCGATCTGAAAAGTTGGTAACCGAAGTGGATGATGGGTAAGGGAATCCTAAAACAAATGTTCCAAAGAAGGATTCCCTTCCTTGCTTGTGGAAAAGTTTGCGCCCAATCTCTTTTAATTTATTTATCATAATACCAGCCAAAGTCATTCGGCTTCATTAAATCTTCCATTCCACTGTGTGGGTCTTGTAAAAATTCAAACAAAATTATCAGCATAGGTTTTCAATTTATCTATGCGCAACCAATCTCTGAAACAATCTTTAAAGGCGCAAAATGCCTTCTCCCATCCACTGGCAACACAAGAGGATATACACAACTGTATTTTGATGGGTAGTTTCTACCTGCTTTGAATTTCAATAGTCAGGGCAAAACATTTAAAGCCCCGATTTTCATTGGAATTGCTCAATCGGCAATTTCCAAAGGGTTCTGGAGACTGCAGACTCATAATCGGCCGCGGGGGGAAAAGACAATTTATTGTTGAAGACATCTGGGTGTTTATAAACCTCTGCAAGTCATTTTAAATGAAACAAGCCTAATGGATCCTCCTCGGGGTCTAAAAGACGGCTGCCAAAAGAGAAGAAGAGACGAGAAAGACGAGAAGGCGTAGAGAATGTAATTGCGTGTATTCAGAATGACACATAACATTACAAACATGGAACGCAATCCATAAATAAGATTTAAAACAAGGACTGCAAGTTATGTTAGTTTTTAACAGAGGCTGAGATTTGCAAGCTGCCGTTTAATCATGTACACAGCCAGACCCTTTGAGAAAATAGAAACTATAACCCAACCCCCCCTCCCCGAGTTTGATCCATGGAAAGTCCACGGTGGAAAAATTGAAAATGCAGACGCAAAGCAGTTTAGCAGTAGTGGTCACTGTGCAGTCACGTGTAGTGTGCAGCGTAGCTTGGTGAAAATACGCTCCACAGGGTGCGATGCTTCGGCGTCTAACTGGAATAAAACCGGTGTAATCGTAGCACAGCTCCAAACGAACATTTGCTATTGTTAAAGGATTCTGAGCATCGTCCTCACAGTCGGCGGATCCAACTAGTTGCGAGATATAATTCAATATCATTCTATCGTTTCCTTTCCTGCCACCGATGCATCTCCAAGTCTTTTAAGGTGACCTTCTGTTATTGGAGGGATGTTAACGCAGGATGAGATTAAGCCAATTACTTCCCTTGCCACAATTTTTAAAAAAATGTCAACGATGTTAATGCTATTTTTTTACATTTTTCTCCTCCGACGCTCATGAAGTCGAGAGCTCGGCTCCTTCAAGGCTGAACCGGAAGGCGTAACTGGCTTGGATGTTTGTGGCCATTAAAAAAAAAAATTGCAGTTGCGTAGCACACATGCAACAAGAAGGGTTAAAAAGACAGGATAAGATGTCATGCCCGGAATATATTTCTTGCAAAACCTGGAAAATATTTTGCCCTTCAAAGCTGGAGGGGAAACCAAGTCAGCAAGGGTCACCAGGAAGCCAAATGAGAACCTCATTATACTTTAAATTTCACTTCCAGATCAGAATAAACTCATCCATCGCTTTTATCTCCCCAGAAAAAAAAACAAAAACGCATTTATTTTCCTGGCCCTTACGGGCTCTCCTACCACCATCAAACCTTGAGCACTTCTGGAAATGGCCAAACCAACCAACCTCGTATGTACGGTTGGACAGCCTGGTGACCCAGGGGGAGAAAAAACGCACGTGCGAAGCGTCCAGACGGAGACCTACGTCTCTCTCCTGGAATATGGGGTCCTCTGTACGCGGCTTGATGTCTCCAAAGCCAGTTCTTTTGAAAAAAAAAGGACAGCGATGGAAAAAAGGGGTTGGTGGTTTTTTTTTTTGGCAGTGTGATGGGATCCCCTCCTAGCTACGGATCTGGTCTATAGCAAGAGGATCATTATGGAGAGCAAGGCGGCTCCTGAAAGTGTCAGAGAGAGCTCCAGGATTACGTCACGACTAAGAGCGACCTCAAAAGCCATAATTTCCTCCCTGTAGCCTTTTTCTCTAGCTGTGCATTTGAAGACACCTTCGTCTATCGGCGTGTCCTGTCCAAAGCGAAGCGTGCAGGATTGGTCCTCCATGGAACAGGGGTAAACCTTCTTGTCCTTGACCCAACTGTAGCTGGCATGGTGGGACCTTAGCGGGCAAGGCAGGTAGATGTAAGCCGTACGGTCCACGCTGACTTTCTTGATGGCATCCGGGGCTAATTTTTCTACCGGGTCCGGAGAGAGAAAGAGTAAGGCAGAGAGAAAGAGTGAGACACTCAAGGCAATGAAAAGAAATGGTTTTTCCGCTCCCTGGTGAGGGTGGTCAAAGTTGAAACGCTTGCAAGGATGGGCTGCGGGACAGGACAGGACCCAGCTCAGCCCTTCTCCGTTGCACTGCCGGAGATCTTAAGGGCAAGGATGTAGAAGAGAAGAGCCATCAACCATACGTGGCTTAGGAAGGTTTGAGTACCTTCTGGGTCAGGTAAAGGGATACAAAACACAACTTGAATCAAGCCAACCTCTTCTCCATTCCCTATCCTTTGAGGTCAGCGTTGCCATGTGGACAGTATGCTCCAGGCCCTCTTCAGAGAGTTGGCCATTGTATTTACAGGGGTGCTATTCTTCTCGACCTACCCAACCTCCTAAGGCCTGTTTTAGAGGTCCTCCCTTAGGTTGCATCCATGGCTGATGTGGGATTGATCATGACAAGACAGGGAGACCCTCTTTGTAAAGTCATATCCACCTTTCCACCAACACTCCATGTTCCTACAAGGGAACAGAGTTACCTTCAGCAGCTTTGCACGCCTGAGTGGTGCTGGACGAATCCAGGTTCTGAATCAACCTGTTGAAGGACAAGGTGGGAACATCTCAAGAACTTTGCTGCATCAAGCCAAAGCACCCTCTGGTTCAGTCCCTGGTTTCTCCCTAGTCAATGATCCCATACGCAGTGTTAACTAAATTCTTAAGGCACACAAGACTGCTTTGTGTGTCAGAAGCTCATGCACACAACATTCTCTCCCCACCCCCAAGACCTCAGTTTTGGTCTCTTGGCTTTTGACCAACCTGTTGGTGTGGTTTTCCTGGGAGATGGCAGAACAACTCTTTCCAGCTGCGTCCCACCCACAGTAAGGGTCCTGGGCCAAGATGCACTTCCAACAATTTCCATTATATTGGTTGCAGTCTTGCAAGGGTAGACGCGTGACTTCAAACTCGGTGCTCACGTAGAGATGGCCCTACCAGAGACAAAATGGGTTCTAGTGCAAGGGGAAGAAAGGAACTCCGTGAAGAAGGCTGTGGAGATCTTCTCTAGTGCTGGGAAATGAGGTATCAGTTCCCTTCATATGTCCATAGGTTGACCTCTCTGTGGTGGATAGATTTCCTTCAGCAAGGGATGAAGATAACCAAGATGATTCCTCAGCCATGGGAGTGAAAAACATATTAGGAAGGAAGTCTCTATTCTGCTCACTATCTAGCACCACCATCAGCTCTGGAAAATGTACAGTTAACTCCATGGATCCCTTGATGTTCCTAGCTATGTAACTTCACCTTATTTCAGGAGGTAGAAGTCAAATACTAACTCTCCCCTTTGTTGGCCACGCAACCAAGTAAGTTGGGAGATATTACCTACCATGGTGCCTGCTGAGTTTCTAGTATTTGCCCCCAAATGTTGCAAACTACCAACAGGTCTATTCTTCGTCTTACCGTGATGGCATCCAGGATCATATGGGTGACAGGTGCTTCAATCTTGAAGGGGCTTAACTCAGCGATGATCACCATCTGTTCTTTGCTTTGGAGGACTTTATGGATCTTCCCTTTGGCTGTCACACAAAAAACAGAACTCTGGTTAGGTGGAGGGAGACCACAATGGTTGTTGCCTAAGCAATAATGTAGATGCAGGATGTCTTGCTGGAAAAGCCTTGGGTCCATCCATCCATGGGGTGGGGATGGCTGGCATCTAAGGATGGGGAAGGAGCAGACTTAAGAGCAGATGCACTAATGAATCCAGAACCTCAATAGATTCCTTCAAAGTCTAGCCCCATTCCTGTCCCTGGCTGGAGTTGAAGACTCCAAAAAGAGTGCAGAGAAGAACGACGAAGATTGGACTGGAAGCTAAAACATATGAAGAACAGTTGCTGGAATTGGGCATGTCTAGTTTAATGAAGAGAAGGATTAGGGGTGACATGATAGCAGTGTTCCAATATCTCAGGGGCTGCCCCCAAAAAGAGGGAGTCAAGCTATTTTCCAAAGCGCCTGAAGGCAGGACAAGAAGCAATGGATGGAAACTAATCAAGGAGAGAAGCAACCTAGAACTAAGGAGAAACTTCCTGACAGTTAGAACAATTAACCAGTGGAACAACCTGCCTCCAGAAGGGGTGAATGCTCCAACACTGGAAGTTTTCAAAAAGAGATCGGACAATCATTTGCCTGAAATAGTATAGGGTTTCCTGCCTGAGCAGGGGGTTGGACTAGAAGACCTCCAAGGTCCCTTCCAACTCTGTTATTCTGTACTGTTAAGGTTTTGTTGGTCACCCATTTCCGTGCACAGCACACTCACACGTTCCAAGAAAGAGGACATCACGGGAGACGTTGTTGGCATCCCGTACTTTATCCATCACCACCTGAGTGTACGTATCATTCATCTGAAGGACATACAGCGGTTGTTCCTCATCTGGATAAACAACGGCTTCTAACTCTGGGTGCTCCTTAATGAAGGCCAGCATTTTGGCCAAGGAAGAACTGGAATCAGGTGGAACACACTGAGGTTGAGGAAGAAAAGAGGCGTGAGAAACTAGGGTAGAGAAGAACACCCCAAATTTTAACCCAGATTCTGTCTGATAATGCAGAAAAGTCATTTCCTTCAGTTATTTCCCCAGCCAATTAATTTCAAAGGGCATTTTAGAACACCCTCCCAATCTTAACTTGCAAATATTTTACATTGTCATTGAATATAGCAAGGGAAGAAATGTTCAGGGCCGCAGGAAGACAACAAAATTAAGTGGCAATTAGACACCTACAATCCCCTTTGAAAACAACAACTAAATCGCCCAAATCAGAGTCTCCAATGAACTTTACCGTGCCAGGTTTGGGATGAGGAACGGCGCCTGGAGCATCCTTGAATTTGGAATTTTCAAAATAGGAACGGATTCGATTCATGGAGTATGAACAAACCGCAGACGTGCCCCTTGGTAGAAATAAAGCAGAAATGAAAATTTCAAACTGTCAGGTGGTGAAGTCATAACTTGAAGACTATCTGTATCAGTCTGGGCATTTCAAGACCCCGGACAGTACCCAAGTAGGACACCAGCCTGGGAATTTCAGGACCGCGGACAGCACCCAGGTAACCAAGTTGCTCCCACAGGGAATGGATTTAAAGGCTACGCTGAAATTCTTTCTTTTCATTGAATTTAAAGTCTTTCCTTCTAAGGGTCAAGATTAGATCTCCTATTCGCCCTCCCCCAAGTGAATTCCAGCATAAGCACCATCCCAAGTTCAGAAGACCCGATTGATGTGGTGCATCCGGAACAGCAAGATTCCAGATGCAACTTCTTGTTGAACGGTCGGGCGTATCTCATCACTCACCATGGGCTGGAAAAGACCCCGTACAACGTCTCGGGCTGGCCCTCCTCTCTGAAAACAAAGGTGTCCTCCAGGCGGTGGAAACTCAGGGGTTCGTGGGGGCGCCCACACACCAGCCTCGCTTTGAGGAAGGTGCTCCAGAAATCACCTGAAGCTGGCTTCTCTCCTTGATCCATCTGAAGCCCCCAAGAGATAAAGACCCACCCTGAATCTAATTTCTTGACAACGTTCCTTCCCACAATCTGGAAACAAATTCAACCTTAGAATTGGTTAGATTGGTTTTTCCTTAGATGCCTCCGCCATTTTTTAAACCCTTAAATCTTTGTACTTCTTAACTTTTAAAACTCTGCTTTCAATATGGTTTTATTAATTAATTCAGCGTAGATGCTGCCTGTCTGACTATCGAGACACTCTGGGCAATCTATACATTCGACAAATGAATAAACAGAATAAAAAACAAACAAACCAGAGTTTAAAAGTCAAGCAGGACAACGGTTTAAAAAGTTTTTAAAAGTTTCGATTTGGTTTTGATTTTTGAAAACGCCCAGAGTCATTTAAGGTAGGATAGGCGATGCAAAAATTTGATTGATTGATCAATCTGTCCATCATAATTTTATTCTACACATTGCTTACGCTTCCCCCCCGCCTCCTAGATAGAAAGGAGACGCCCCCTTTTTCCAACCTTGCACACACGGCCGAGCCAAACTTTGTACAGTTCCTCATCCAGGCCGGCTGACCGGTTGACCTCATTGTAGAAGAAAAAAATTTCATCTTTCCTTCGGTCTCTGTGCTGGAGGAGGGCTGCTCCTGCAAATTCAGCATCTGGAACAGAAAATTCAGGGTGAGAAAAAAAAAGAAAAAAAGAAGCAGCCCTAAACGATCGCATCCAGAGATCGGTTGCTGTGATCCGCTGACAGCCTGCTATGGAAGCTTCTTGCTGTCTTTTTCAAGAGTTTCCAGCTTTTATTCAAGTCCCTAAGTGAGCCCAAAATTTCTGCTGCTAACCCCATTGGTCAAGTGGGTTTTGCCCCCATTTTACCACCTTGCTTGCTACATTTGTTCGGTGGATCCCTGCAATTCAGTTAGTAAAACAATTGTTGAATCAATCTGGCTTCTTTTCCTTGTCAGAAGGTCACACCACACATGACCTTGGGATACTGCAACTGTCATAACTGTGAGTCAGTTGCCAAGCATCTGAATTTCAATCCCATGACCACGGGGGGACGCTGCAACGGTCCTAAGTGTGAAAAACGGTGACTAGTCCCTTTTTTTCAGTGTCGTAACTTTGAACGGTCACCCAATGTTGAGGACTGCCTGTGTTCCATTTTCAGGAAAGTGGCAAAAAGTAACAAGGACCATCTCTTACTGCTGATCCAACTGTCCCTCGTCTTGATCCCTTTCTTCCGTCCGTAGCTCCTCTGGAAGGAACTTTTATTCCCAGATAAGGCCGAGTAAAGGCTGTCTTCTGAAATACGGAGAAAAGCCAGAGCTGAAATCTATTCTTTAATACAGAAGTGTTCAAATCTTCATGAGCCATGCTGATTTGATTTCTTTCGCATAACTTCCTAGCCCTGATGCTGCTATTGGGGGGGGGGCAATAAGTAGCTTGAGATCTGGAAAGATATTAAAATTTTGGCTTCTTTTGGAGCCCTTACCAATGGCGATGGTGACGGCTTTTTGCGACGGTGAGGCTGAGATGACGTTCTCTCCTACCATGGTGAAAATTTGTCCGTGGCTGCTCGTCTGCAGTGTTGTGTTGACCTGAAAGAAAAAGAGAACCAGAGGCCAACGGAGAATAATATCCTACTGATTACTATGGGTCCGCCTGTTTCCCAAAGCTCCTTCTGTATTGGCTGCCAAGCCCCTTACCAGAATCCAGCATTTGGGAGAACCTGCATTCGTTCCACAGACCAGGGTTTTATTCTCTATTCTTTCGATCATCTGGATGAAATTATCACAGTTGCCCTACGAATGACAGAACAGGGAAAATAAACCCCATCCAACTGAACCCAACCCAACCCAACCTAACCAACCCAACTCACCCCAACCAACCCAACCCAACCCAGCATAATCCAACCCAACCCAACTCAATCTAACACAACCCACCTCAACTCAACCCAACCCAACCAACACAACACAACTCAACCCAACACAATCCAACTCAACTCAACCCAACAGAACCCACCCAACCCAACCAAATCCCAACCAAACTCAATCTAACTCCTCCCAACCCAACCCAAGCTCAGCCCAGCCCAGCCCAGCCAATCCAAACCAACCCTTGCTAGACCTCTGGGGTGCTCTGTGCCTGGAAGTGGTGGGAAGTAACTGGGAGAGATAAAGTCCTGCCAGGTTCCCAGTTTAAGGTGGCCCAGGCAGTTGATTCTTGCTTTTGGAACATGCTAAGATCAGGCCAAACTATCCCCCCCCTTTCAAACCATCTCACCTTCTCTGCTCTCTTACAATCCCTCTCGGCCTTCTCTTCGACGGGCACTGGCACCTGGAAACCATGGAAAGACACATTATGATTTTTTTTTTATCATGGTCATTACACAAATCACCGGCTCATTCAGCCAATCCAGCTTCCCCCTCCCCCCGTTGGCTTGGCTTATCGGAAGCCAGCTGGAGAGGTCACAAAGCCTAATCACGTGACCGCAAGACCCCACATCTATCGTAAATGTGAGCCGGTTGCCGAGCACCACTTTTTCCAATAGCATGATAACTTGGGTCCGTTGTTAAACAAACGGTTGTAAATCGAGGACCGCCTCTAGAGGGTTTGGAAGGGGGTGGGATGGTTTACCTCGGTGGGTGTGATGTCGGAACCCTCAAAGGTCAGAATCCAGACTGCCCCTTGCCCTCCGACAATCAGCTGGGGGGACCCAGCCTCGTGAAACATGGCCAACAGCCGTTCCTTCTGATTGAAAGTTCGCGTCGTGACATCTGGAAAAGGGGAAAAAAAAAGGATTAAAATCAACACTCTTATTAAAAACAACCTTGCTGATTTGGAATACCTCAAAAGCCCAAGAAGGTATAAAAACCCACCCCTCCCAGCTCCCTGTGGTCAGCTTGCCCAGAGCCACATTTCTGTCTGGCTCTGCTCTTCAAAAAACTATAACCTTCTTTCTAAAGCAGTCTCCATTTTGATTATTCCCAGCTTGGACCGGACCCTGATGACAACTTTCCACGCCTTGCCGAAACCAGGACGTTCCCCGTCACGTCAGGGTCTGCAACAAGCCAGCTCTGTTTTATTTTGGCTGGCCTGGAATGCCAATGACCTATTTATCCTGGTTCGGTGGGAAGGAGAACATCCAGAACCTGCCATCTTAATCCATTATGCAAAGGAATGCGCTTGCTGAGACGCTGCCCGGTTGGGCCCTGGGAAATTGCAACAGCAACAGCAGCAACGCTCGGCCACAACAAGGCACCACACCTTGTTGCTGTTTGTGCCCTTCGCATTATTACCCTCGTCTGTCCTCAGCGCAGGGGAGGGGGGGGGAGAGAGGAGAAGGCCTGCAAGGATGAGTCACAGGGAGGGAAAAACCAGCCCCCCCCAGCAATGAATCCAGAGCACAGTCTGTGTTTTTCTGCAACCCCCCCCCCCTTTCCAACTCTCTCTGCCCCCCCCTTGCTCTGTATCTGGGTTTTATCTGCATTGCAGAGGGCAGCCAAATGGGTTTGACCTGCTGGAGCAAAAATCTTTTTCTCCTTTCCTGCAAAACATTGCTGGGCTGCTTTACAAAAGGGCCAATTTGTGGCATTCAGATGTCCTTGCATTGGAGTGGGGGGTGTGGGGGTGGAGGAGGACAAAATTAATTGGGTTTTTTTCCCCCAAGACCAGATGCCCCCCCTCCCTTAGAGCTGAGTCCTGCTCCTGAGTAGAAAAAAGCTTCCCCGTCCTTATTTTGCAAGGGAGAATTTTGGAATCGTTGCAAAGGGCAAGAATTGATTGATTTGCTCTCCAGGACTGGCGACAAATAAAATGCGCTTTGCTGATTGCCCATGTTCCACGGATACCATGTTCCACATACCGTGCACGGATTACAAGTGGATCCGGGACCTTAAGACTCTTGGCCCTCCTGTTAAAATATATATATATATATATCCCCCCCTCCCCAAGTCCTTTTCACAGGAGGATATTGGCCCAATTTGGGGCTTGTCGGGGTTTTCGCTGACTAAATAGAACTTCCAGTTTGAGAGGCAGTCTATCCGTCAACCGTAGACCTGGGTAGAGAGGACTTTACCCTTTGTGGGCTTCTCAGAAGGATCCAGTGGATCCCTGCAGGTGGGCGAGACTAGCTGGGTTGCGGTCCGATCTGATCCGATGGCCGTGGAATTGAATATCAGAAGGAAATGCTAACATTTTGGTCTCTTTCCTTCTCCTGTTGCTGTTAATTCCACCGTTGGGAGTCAGCCAAGAGCAAGGAGCAGCTTTTGTAAACCACTCCGAACCGTTTTGTTCGAACTGGCCTTGAAAAATTATTCCTAAAAACCGAATCGGGACGTTAAACCTTCACGGACAGGTGCAGTATATCTGAACCCATAGCGGCCAGAACTCCAGAGAAAGCAACCAGGCCATTTAATACCTTTCTTCTCTCTCCCCCCCCCTGCTTTTGGGGTCACTTGTTCACCCCTTTAGGGACTCGGCCAACTTTTATTTGAATTTTACGGAATTTCTTGCCAATCAGCTTAGGCTGGAGAAGACACACACACACACACACATACACACGGCTTTAAAACAGGCAGATTTTGGCCATTTAGCAGCCACTCTGCGGTTGGAAAGGGGGGGGGAAATCCCCCCCTTGCCCAAAGTGCCTCTGGAGCTCAATTTTGAGGGCACGGGCGCCTTGCCACGCTGTGCATCAAAAAAGATCAGCCGGAGCCAAAATGTTTATGCTCAGCAAAAGACGGACGAGAGCCAGCAGTTTAAACTCTCCTGCAGAAAATCTCTCTTAAGGAAGCTGCACCCAATTTTTGAATTCCCCCCCCCCTCCAATTGAGCTAATAAGATAATAAAAAAATGTTCCCGTAAGTTCTTTAAAATGCTATCTACGGTCTACGTGTTCGAAGAAACAAAACGTGAATATATCCCTCACCTTAGTCAATGTTTTTTTTTGTTTACAGAACCTCTTTTCCTATCTTAATAGCTTCTTAGAAGCCTCTTTGCAAACCACATCCTGCTTCTAGTCCTCAAGAATCTCTCTAAATGCTATCAATGCCTTTCTAGACTCCGCCTCTCCCAGTTCCCTCTTGGCAAGAGAACGGTGGGTTTCAAAGTTCGCTTTGCTGAAAGAAAGGGCAGCATTTGGTCCAGCAACTCCAGCCCCCCCCCCACACACAGGGTTCCCTCCCCGAGCCACAACCGTCCTGCGAGGTAGGCCAGTCCCAAAGTAACCCAAGGAGCTTCCGTGGCTGAATGTCGGGGACCCAAATTTCCCAATTAAATCCACGACGTTTCAAGAATATGGAATAAGTGGCCATTAAGTCTCTTTTCTAAAACGTTCATGACTCAGCCAATCAAATGCACCATCCCTTGCTAAGCAAAGGAACCAGAATTTTAAATTGCTTTTGGAGGCTTGCTGAGCATTTTGCAAAAGGAAGAGAGGATTTGAGGCGGAGGTTAGGAGGGGAAAAAAAAAAACCCCTTCATTTTGCAACAGGATCCTGGTGACTTGTGTTTTTTTTTTCTTGCTCTCTTTCTTTCCTGCTTTAATTCAGGATCCTGCCTTAATCCAATAGGTTTCAAAAGCTTGGCATTTAGAAATTCAACTTACGCACCCTCGGCAATCTGAAAACAGGTGCAGAGCAATAATAAAATAAATCATTTGCAAATCCCAGGTCCTTGGGAAGGACTAGAGGGGTAAATAAAAAATGCCAAATTCAGACTGAACATCTGGCTGATTGGGCCAAACACCTTCGTAATAAAACAGGTCACCGATTGGAATCCAAACAGGAATAATAATAATGGAAAAGAAAGCTCAGCTTTTTGAACAATAATAATAATAATAATAATAATAATAATAATAATAATAATAATAATAATAATAACAGGGGGAAAAAACTTACCTTTGGAAATCAGAAGGAAAAAACTCATTTTGGCAATGGGAATCGTAATAACAGGAGAAAAAAAAGCTTACTTTTTGCAATCCTCACCCTAGAAATTATAGATTTATGATTCCCTTTTGAAATCAACATAATTGTAATAATAGGAAAAAAAGGTCTCCTTTGGAATTAATAAAAAGAAAAAAAAGCTTCCCTTTTGGCATCAAAATAAATGGGAATTACAGGGATAAAAATTATAAGAAAAAAAATCCTTTGGCATCAAAACAACAACAACGACAATAATAATAATAATAATAATAATAATAATAATAAACCACAATTATAGGGAAAAGCTATAATTACAGGAAAGAGCAGCTCCCCTTTAGGGATTGCAGTCATAAAAAGGGCAGGGCTTCAAAATAATAATCATAATAGGAAATAAAGCTCACCTTTAGGAATCAGCCTTAGCCGGGGAGTAATTTGAGAGGCTCCCAGGTAAAAGAGTGCAAAAAGGCAGAAATGGGGAAAGCACCCCATTTTATTGGGTTGGGGGAGATGATTGGCTGACCCTCTGCAGAAAGAGGGATTTCAGAAAGGCTGCACCAAATGTCTTAAAAGGCAGGAGGACCTTATCCTGCCTGGAGCCAGCGCTGCTGCTTTGCGCCTCCCTCCCTTCTCTGTTTTCTAATTTATAGACCAATTAAATTAAAAAAAAAGAAAGAAAGAAAAAGAAAGAAAGAAAGAGAAGAGGATCCGCCAAGAACCGGCTCCCTCAAGCGGCCGGAGGGAAAGAGGAGAGCTGTGGAAAAACCGCCCCAGTGATGCTGCTGTTGTTGCTGCAAAAGATTTTGCAGGCAGCAGGGAAAAAGGATGGCGATGCAGAAGAGGGACCGAAAAAATCCCTGCAGAAGAATTTTTTTAAAAAGGGGGGGCAGGGGGGTGTCATTAGCCACACAGCCCCTGCGCGGGGGAATCGCAAGCAGAGAGGGCAGCTTTGGAAAAGATGCAGGATATTATTATTATTATTATTATTATTATTATTATTATTATTATTATTATTATTATTATTATTATTATTATTATTATTATTATTATTACTAGTGGTGTGAAGAGTGAATTGAACAGGGACTGCATTTGGCACGAAATGAGACATCTGTTGGGAATTTGAAATATTGCTAGATATTCTGAGAGGATCTTCCTTCCATTCCTCTCATTTTCCTTCCTTCCTTCCTTCCCTTTTTCCTTCCTTCCTTCCTTCTTTCCTTCCCTTTTTCCTTCCTTCCTTCCTTCCCTTTTTCCTTCCTTCCTTCCTTCCCTTTTTCTTTCTTTCTTTCCTTCCTTCCTTCCTTCTTCCTTTCTCTGCCTTTCTTCTTTTTTCCTCCTTTTTCCTCTGCTTATCCTCCTTCCTTCATCTTTTCCTTCCTTCCCTTTCTCACCTTCCTTCTCCCTTTTCTTCCTTTTCTTTTTCCTCTGCTTATCTTTCTTCCGTCTCCGTCTTCCCCTCCCTTCCCTTTCTCATCTTCCTTCCTTCCTTCCCTCCTTCCCTCCCTCCCTCTACTTTTCTTCATTTCCTCCCTTTTCTTTTCCTTTTTTCCCTCTGCTCGTCTTCCTTCCTTCTCCATCTTCTCCTCCCTCCCTTCCTCCCTCCTTCCCCCCTTTTCCCAATTTCCTTCCCGCCTGCCTCTCCTCCTGCAGAACACTTATGGGAGACCCCCGTCTGAAATTCACCCCGTGAGCTTCACCCTCTCCTGGCTAGTCCGGCAGCCAAAATAAATTGATCCCTCGATCAATAACTTTCCCTCTTGCTGTGTCATGCTTGTTTTCAAGCAAAAGCACCTCGCCTTTTTCTGGGGGGGGGGGGAGAGAGAGTTGGAATCCCGGAAGAAGCCTGGTGCTGATGTGAGAATCCATCACACACACACACACAACCACCCCCTCCCCCTTTGAGCATCATCAGGACTAATAATAATAATAATCATCATCATCATCAAAAAACGACTAGGATTTCCAGGTGCAAGAAAGAACGGGTCGTATTTATTAACAAACGGGCTGAGCTGACGAAGTCTCTGCGTCTTGGATAAATGTGAATTCATATCCTCTTTTTTTCTGTAATTACAGAATTGTTTCCCTGTTTGTCAAAAAGTTTGATGACTAGGTTTTTAAAAAAAAAAATTGCAAGGGAGATGTTGTTCAATCTGTTGCTAGGATATTATTATTAATAATTTTTTTTGTCCTAGCTGTAATTCCAGGTGAGAGAAAGACGGCATATTGGGGTGATCCGAAGAAATGGCTGGGATTCTCCAACAGTCCCCTTCCAATTGTCTGCTTGGACCTCTTGATGGAGAAGAATGGAAGGAGGACTTGCAACAGGAAGGAGCTCAAGTGTTCATCTCAGCTTTTTGGGGAGAGTTTCTTTGTGGTTTTTTGGGAGAAGTTCTTCGCTGGCCCACAATGGCCTTGTAACCTCGGGAGGGACGGGCCTCGGCGTGAATCACCTGGTGGGTGACGTTCCCTCTGCCTCTACTGTAGAGGAAGATGAAGGAGAAGCAGAGCAGGACGGAGCAGAGAAAGGGGACAATCCCGATGACCAAGATGCCCAGCCAGATGCTGGCGTGGATGAAAAAGAGGGAGGACATCACCGTTCTATTGCGCAGACCGAAGTCCTTCCAGACCAGGGACTGGTTGAACAGAGGAACAAGGACCTTCAAAGAAGCTACCATAGAATCATTGCCGGCTGTGTTGCTCGCAACGCAACGGTACAATCCACTGTCTTCAGGGAGGGCGAACTGAATCTTAAGAGTCCCATCAGGAAGGACGGTTGACCGGCCTTTGTGGGTTGAGTCTAAGGTGATGTTTTGAGGGTTCAACCAAGAAACGATGGGTGGTGGGTCTCCAGCACTGCTGCAAGTCAAGTTGGCCTGCTCTCCTTCATGAACGACCACTTTCTGGAGGGCCTTATCCTCAATGGTAGACTTCCGACAGGTGAAGTGATGTGGCAGAGCCCTGGAGAAGTCACGGAAGACCTTCTCTCCTTCTTCTGAGCTGACAGCACAGATGGGCATCTGAGCCTCGAAGTTCAACCTCTGCCGCCTCTTCAAGATCCAAAGGAGGCGGCAGTCACAGGCCAAGGGGTTTCGGTCCAGCCGAAGGACTTCCAGGTTCCCCACCGAATGGAAGACCCTTTCCTCAAGGGTCTGCAGGTGGTTGGCCGAGACGTTGAGGAGACGGAAATGGACGAGGCCTTCAAAAGCGTCGGCCTGGATGGTGGTCAGTCGGCCCCCTGTAAGGTGGAACTCTTGGAGACGGGAGAGATCCAGCAACTTCCTTCCACGGATCACGGAGATGGGATTGTAAGAGAGGTCGAGGAAACGGAGGTGGGCCAGGGGCTTGATGGCCCTATAAGGAACATCATGCAGGTTACTTCTGACGATGGACAAGGAAGTCAGGTTAAGGCCAGAGAGACTGTGAGACTCCAGGGTTTTCAAGAAGGGCCACTGATTGATCTCCAGAACTTTCAAGCGATGGAGCTTCCGAAAGGAATAGTTGTGGAGGACCCTGAGGTTGAGAACATTCAGATGGAGCTCCACCAGATGGGGAAGGTGGGAGAGGGCCTCGGTGGGCAGGCTGGTAAAGTTGCATTTTTGCAGTGTGAAGCTCCGCAGATGTTGGAGGCCTCGGAAAGCCTGACCTGAAATCAAGACCAGAGGATTGTCCCTTATGTCTAGATGCCCAAGGCTGAAGAGATCTTTGAAGGAGTGATCCAGCAGGACGAGGATCTTGTTTTCCCGCAGGTCAAGAACGGAGAGGTTGGGCAGCCCCGTGAAGACCCCATCTGGGATCATCTTCAACTTGTTGCCTGTTAGTCGGAGGGTCATGATCTTCTGAAGGCCGTTGAAGGCCCCCTGTTCAATGTTGGAGATGGTGTTATAGCTGAGGTCCACCTCTTTGAGGGCTTGGAGACGGGAGAACATGCCCTGGTGGAGGGTACGGAGGCTGTTTTGGCTTAAGTCCAAGAATTCCGAATCCGGGGGGATCTTGACGGGCACAGTGGTCAGATTCCGGCTGTTGCAGAAGACAACTTTCTCCTGAACCAAACATTTGCACCTGAAGGAGCAGCTCCATCCAGGTCCCACGAAGAAGACCATCCCCAGGAAGACCAGGAACCAAGAGGGTGGCAGATCCGGTGAAGAAGGCCTGCTCAACATCTTGAGAAGTTCCTGAAACAACAGAGCTAAACAACACAAAGACTTTCATGGTTAGAAGGCAGTCAACAAACAAGAAGAAGACCCTACTGAAGCTGGATTTTGAACATCTGCAAGGATCTTTTGCTGCACGGCTCCAGACCCCAGACGCTGCGATGCAATTTGTTTTAAGTAACTCCTTGGCAAAATTCCCACCGGCGCATTAAAACAAGAGGCGTCCGTAGCAAAAGGAGAGGCGGAGGCCAAGAACACCAAGGCTATGGGGCAGCCTAGGGGGCAGGAGATGGAGAAAGATGGGTCAGGAGAAGACAAGAGAGGAGATCAAGGTTGGATCTAGGGGGCCTTGGCGATTCTCAGCACGCCCCATATCTCTATGGGCTTAAAGTTTGATCCCACAGAAGAGAGAGTAAGCCAGGATGAACAGATTAACCGTCGGAAGGGACCTTGGAGGTCTTCTAGTCCAACCCCCTGCTCAAGCAGGAAACCCCATACTATGCCAGACTGTCCAGTCTCTTCTTAAAAGCCTCCCGTGTTGGAGCACCCACAACTTCTGGTGGCAAGCCATTCCACTGGTTAATTGTTCTCACTGTTAGGAAGTTTCTCCTTAGCTCTAAGGTTGCTTCTCTCTTGAATGACCTTCCACCCATTGCTTCTTGTCCTGAATAGAATACAGAATAACCAGAGTTGGAAGGGACCTTGGAGGTCATCTAGTCCAACCCTCTGCTCAAGCAGGAGACCCTGTCCCATTTCAGACAAATTTGGGGGAGATCTCCGTTTTTAGAGAAGTAGGAAAAAAAGGTGCTTTAGGGGAAAAAAAAACTAAGTGAAGCGTAGATGGGTGAAAAAAAAAACACCTGAAGGGGTTTTTTTTGGGGGGGGGAAAAGAATTTTCAGCTGTTCCTTCCTCTTAGCAGTCCTTCTCAGTCCTCACCCTTTACGGAGAACGAGATGTGATGCAAAAATTGGCACATCGCACATTTTCAGCGGGGCGATAGCTCCCGCAGAGTCCCTGGCTTGGAATTTGCATCTTAATGGGAACATTTAATTAACCCAATGCAGTCAAAGTGGGCCAAGAAGAGGCATTAAGAAAAATAAAAAAAATAAAAAACACGAAGCTTCAACGGGAGATTGTTTATTTTGGGGATTTGTAGGGAGGGGAAAAAAAAGCCCTCCAGAAATTTCCCCTTTATATATATGAAAAAAAATAGGAATGCATCTGGGTATGGTCCCCCCTTCTTCACTTTTCCTGTGAAAAATGCACCTGGTTTTATCCTGGAAGGAGTATCCTTGCGCTTCAGGTCAGCGCAAGCTTCCAGACCTCACTGAGGAGCCCAGATTTAACTAGCCGCTCGGTTTAACTCACAAAGACACCACACTGAATTCTGTGGGCATTCTGCTTGTTATGACAAGTCCTGGTTGGATTAAACTCTAACCCTCCCCGGTCATTTTGACAGATATTTCACTTACCTTACTGGTTTAATGGCTGGACAGCTCCAAATTTCAAAGCTTCGTAAAGTCCGGCATAAAAAAAAATGGGTCGCTTATTTGGATGGCCAATAAGGACCCTCCACAAGGGTCCTCCCTCTGGATGTGGGGTTTGACAACCCTCAAATTATCAGAGGTAGAGAAAAAAAAACCAGATGGGAACAAGGCTGGGGGGTCGTGTGTCTTCCCCAAAGCTCCTATATAAACCTGTATTTTAAAAAATAAAATAAAATAAAATTCTTTTGTAAGTGAGAGAGATTGAGATATAGATGATAGACAGATAGGATAGATAGATAGATAGATAGATAGATAGATAGATAGATAGATGATAGATAGATAGATAGATAGATAGATAGATAGATAGATAGATAGATAGATAGATAGTTTCTCTCCCTGGCAGATTTGCTATTCTGACTTTTAAAAAGCAGCTTATTTTTATTTCAGATCAAGCAGAGATCTGAACACGACGACAACCGTGGGCTGAAATGATTTCTCTGGATAGTTTCTTTAAAAAGAAAGAGGAAAAAAAACACACAAAGGTGGCTGTTTGTGTGTTACATTAGCACCTGCAAAAGGAAACAGGGGGGGAGGGCTCCCCTAAACTCTCCTTTATCTTTCAGCCTTTGAAAGCTGAAACCATGCAGAGTTGCAACAGGGAACCTCCATCCTACCGATCCCAGCCGAGCCGATCCCAGCTCCCTTCGTTCCTCTTTGGATCAGTCCAGCTTTGAAGCTTTCCTTCCACGTCCTGACAGCTTTCCCACCATCCCCATCACCCATTTCCTGGATTTGAACCTGGGACTTTTGCACGCCACAAACCCTGATGGGGCTACACTAAGGGAGGACACGCCAAGCCGCCCTAACATCAACCCTGCTAAATTCTCTCCGGACAAAACGAGCAATTTGGCAGTGCTTTCGTACGCCCCCCCTCCCCAATGAAAGAAAGCATCCACTTTGCACAAGGCAGGTGCCTCAACCTGGGTTTGTTTGATCCCAACACAATCTCTCACAAATGAACAAACCGCTTACCTGGGGGGGGGGGCTGGGTCACCGCTCTTGAGTCCGTCTCCTGTCGCTCCGTCTCCTCTGTGGTTCTTCTCATCCTCGCCTCAAGAACATTCCCTTCCCGACTTTCTGTAATTTTTCTTCTTCTTGTTTTTTTTTTTTTCTTCCTTCCCACTGCTCGGCACACACAGCAGCAAAGCAGGACAACCCACACACACACACACACACTCACATTCTCACAAAGCTAAAAGCAGTCCCCGGTTTTTCATTCCCGCCACCGAACGTCTATTGATCAGCTTGACGGTTCGAAGATTAAACCCCGCTGTTTCCAAACTGGGGTAGGGGTGGGTGGGCTTCCCGCGCTGGGAAGCCCACCACTCGGGCCCCGTTTTGTGCAGGAAGTCCTCGGCTTACGACCCCAAAATCTCTGTCGCGAAGCGAGACGGTTACTGTGGGTTTTGCCCCATTTGGGGGGACCTTCCTCGCCATAATTAAGTCAAAAGGGGATCACGTGACCCCGGGACACCGCGACCGTCGTAAATACGAGTCAGGTGCTGAGTGTGAATTTTGATCACGTGACCACGGAGTGACACACAACGGTTGGTAAGTGTGAAAAATGGTTATATGTCCCTTTTTTCAGTGGCCGTTGAGGACTACCTGTATAGGGAACTAGACAGCAATCCTGCTACTTATCCATGGCACATATATTGCTGCTTGGGAAAACCTGTGAATCATGGTTTAGGATGGAAAACCAACATCCTGTGCTGGATTCCACCTCCTGGCCCACAACAGCTACTCTGCCCCTGTATAGGGAGGCTCCATTTAACCCTTAAAATGCCCTGCCGATTTGACAGCTTGCTACGCGACCTGAAACCTCTGGAAATCATTTATGCAAATATTAAGACACCTGCATATAAACCACCCCGATACCAAATAAACATTGTTACCTAACAAAGTCTAACTCCCATTTCTACAAGGGTTTTGCAACATTTTCCCACTTTGCTTAATTCAGTATTCTGGATGGATCTGGAGGCTTCGAGGTGTGTTGGGGTGTGTGTGTGTGATTCTTTATTTCCCCAATGATCCACACATTTATTAATCTGCCAGTCCCTTACAGCCAATTTCTGAAATTTAATTTCTAGCGACGTCACGGCAACCACCGAATTCTGACGGCCTCAGCAACTTATTCCAAACCTCACAAATGGACATCAAAATAATTAAAAGAAACACAGATTGCAAAATTGGAACTCCCCCTTAAAATGCTCAGCAGTTACCTTTCCGCTTGAAAACCCCCACCAAAACAGGGCAATAGCCACAGCTATAAGGCGAGCCAGCGCGAGAAATAAAAACCCAACCATCTTAGCAATATGCACCGTGGTTTAATTAAATTAAAAAGTAGCCTGAACGGCTTCCATCGTACGCTTTCTAAAGGCCGATTTCTCTAAACTTAGCTTAAAAAATAAAAATAAAAAATAAAACTTTTTCAACCGGTATTTACACGGCCTCCCTACCCTCCCGTGCTTTAAATATTTCAAACTATTTTTTTTAAACCCAAGAAAAAGATAAAAGAGAATAGAAAAAGGACTCGAGATATGTCCACGTATATCCGACGCAAGTTGGTGGGTTTTTTCTGTGCGAATGGCGTCATGTGAACAGCTCTGGACGGGAAAACGAAGAGCGTCTTAAAATTTATTCCTGCAAGCCGAACTGTTTGCAAGGTAGGACGTTCAAGAGGAAAGGTTTTAAATATCAGGAGGCCAACGCGGATTATCTTGCAGTTCGTCCAAGACTGTCGTGCTATTTACTCCAGAACCAAGCCCAGAATTTATGCCGCTAAGTGAGACATTTGTTAAGCGAGTTTTGTCCCGTTTGCCACAGTTGGGAAGTGAATCGTGACAGCTGTTAAGTTAGCGACACGGATGTTAAGTGGATCAAGCCTTCCCTGTGGACTTTGCTCGGCAGACGGTGGCAAAAGGGGATCGCATGACCCCCCCCAGGGACGCCGCGACCGTCATAAATCTGAGTCAGTTGCCAAGAGTCCCAATTTTGATCGCGTGACAGTGGGGAATGCTGCGACGGCCTTAAGCGTGAAAAAAGGGCCCTAAGTCCCTTTTTTCAGTGCCGTTGTGACTGAGTCACTAAGCAAACTTTTGTAAGTCGGGGGGCTACATGTAAGCAGAAAATATGTTCCCTACAGGAGCTCCTGAAAAATCATCTCTGCATTTAAAACGATCCTGGGGACATCGCCACCACCGCTGTCTCCGGAGGAAACTGCGCTGGCTTTGGGGAAATTCGGGGGAAAGTGCCAAAAAGCCAACTCATTTGGTTTCGAGATCGCCTCTCCGAAGCGGGTCTAAGTGGCTGAGATGTATCCTGACAAAGCGCCCTTTTTCGCACGAGTGCCGACGTTGAGGCCAGTGGACGAAGTGAGAATGCAGAGAAAGGGAAAGAAAAAGAGACCGGGAGATTCCTTGCTTATCAAAATACAGACTTGGCAGAAAAATAAAATCTATCTTAAGTGGGCCGCCTCTGTCCCTCTCTCTACATAGGCATACATATATCATTTCTTTTGAACTCCGCGGAGTCTCTGGCTGTGGAACTGCACAATGAGGTATTTTGGAGGGGTCACCGAAGCTGGCGGTGACGTCCGACGCCGTCTTCCGTTGACACTGTATCAGAGTGGATTTGTCGCTTTCGCACAACGCTCCCTTACCGCTTAGTGCTTCGGTGGCCGCTAAAATGTAAACTGGAGCACTTTGTAGACCGGGATCCTTCCGATAAAGGAAGACAGGAGACCCTGGCCTGCTTTTCTTCCAGGATGAAACAGGACGCCCCCAAAATGAGGACAGACAAGTGATCACCAACTCCTGTCCACCCACTGCTTCCCTTGATCCGATTCTGTTTTTTGCGCCTGGCTTCCAGCAACCAGGAGGCGACGCCTGGTCTGTCCTCGGCTCGTGGGGAAGGGGGGGGGAGTTACTCCCCTGTGGGTCCCTGGATCAGTGGGTCAGAGTCTGAGCTGAAGAGCTCTTTGTACAGGGGTGGGAAAACCGCGTGGACGACCAGGGGGTACATCTGTCGAAAGGAACGGAGCTTCTCCACGTGCTGGGAACAGAGGCTGCGCAACTTTCCTTTGGGCGGCAACTGGAAAGAGAAAGCAGGAGAGAATCTCACCTGGCCTGGCTCACCTGGAAGGTGCCCCACTGTAGGAGATGGCCACTGTTTGAAGCTCACCTTCGCCAGGATGCCTTCCCGGTGACTTTTCTGCAGCATCTGCTTGAACGCCACTTCAAGGTTGTTTTGCAGATAAGCCACTTTGCTTCTTTCCTGCAACCACGGGCGATCTGCACGACGCAAAGAGCCGTTGGTCGGCGCCTCGCTCCGTTTGGAAAAGCAAAGCTGTGAAGCAAGTTGCCTCCCCCCCACACACCTCTCTGGGATCTACAGAAGGGCCTGTTGGGTGCAACTCTTTGGTTCATTGATTAATTAAATTAAATATGCCGCCCGTCTTCTCGATAAGGCTTCTCTGGACGGCTTACAGATCCTAAAAAGGCAGAGAAGCCCTTGAAAGGTTTTAAAGCTGTGCAAATTAAAACCTTAGGACTATGCAGAAAACTATGCAGCCATTTGTCCGAAATGGTATAGGGTTTCCTGCCTGAGCAGGGGGTTGGACTAGATGACCTCCAAGGTCCCTTCCAACTTTACTATTATTATTATTATTATTATTATTATTATTATTATTATTATTATTATTATTATTATTATTATTATTAAACAGGATGGAGGCTTCTGGGAGGCCCCGATTGTGCCGCGGCTTTCCTGGAGCAGCTGCTTGATTTTAAGCAAGGTTTGACTTTTTAAAGTATTCTTTCCAACTTTCTCAGGCCTCCAATTCTTCGTTGGTGCGGCAACCGAGTCTTTTAATTCGTCTGTTTTTCAGAGGCGGGGTCCTCAAACGTGGCCACTTTAAGATTTGTGGACTTCAACTCCCAGAATGCTGGCTGGGGAATTCTGGGAGTTGAAGTCCACAAGTCTTAAAGTGGCCACGTTCGAGGACCCTCTGGCTGAAAGGGACGGTTTGATTTGCAGCTTTGTGTTGATCTTATAGGATCAGCTGGTAAACTCAACCATCCCTTTGCGGTTCCTGTGTAAAGTCTTTTTTTTTTTCTGAGACGTTCGGAGAGGGCAACTGTTCCAGGAAAGGCAGAAAAACCCACATTTTGATCTCTCTTTGAACAAAGAAGCCACAACTTCCTCAAACTGACCGCAATGAATAGTGGTCAAAAGAGGAGACGGCCAGAGTTTGACTCCCCAACCAGAAACCCCGTCCTTACTTGCGTTGATCAGCACCAGAGCGGTGAAGAGGGCAATTTCGTTCTCGGAGAAGTGGAGCGAACACAGGCTGTGCGCAAAGTCGAAGATGGAGTTGATAAGTTCGCTGCACCCTGAGGGAAACAAGAGCCGTCGTTCAAATCACACTCTAAAGAGGAAGAGGAGGAGGAAGGAGAGGAAGAGAAAAAGAAAGAGAAGTAGGAGAAGAGGAAGAGGGGAAGGAAGAAGAGGAGGAGAAGGAGGGGAGGAAGGAGACAGAGAAGGAAGAAGAAAAAAGGAACAGGAGGAGGAGGAGGGAGAGGAGGGGCCAAAGAAAGAGAAGTAGGAGAAGAAGAAGAGGAGAAGGGAGGAAAGGAGAAAGAAGAGGTGACAGAAGGAAAAAAAGAGGAGAGGAAGAGGAGACAAAGAAAGAGAAGTAGGAGAAGAGGAAGAGCAGAAGGAAGAAGAGAAGGAGGAGAGGAGAGAGAAGGTAAAAGAGGAGAGGAGGAGGAGGAGGAGGAGGAGGAGGAGTTAGATGAATCTTGGAAACCAACTCCTGGAGTTGCAATCTCTTCTCGGTGCCAGTTGACGTTCCTCAATCCCGCTCAAGTGGCAGACCTCCGCCCTGCCCCCAAAACTTCTTGCCAGACCCCCCCTTCTACGCCCTACTTTAGACCCCAACCTGGATCTACAGGGGACTCCACCATTCTCGATACAGCTAGTAGGGTTCTCTCGTACCCAGAGACTTGAAAACTTCTGAGCCGGCGTATTTGCCCTCAAAGAAGACTGTCCGGTTCTCAGAATTGAAGGCTCGGCACATCCTCACCAGAACGACCTCCATGGCACCTGAAGTGGGAGGAGAGAAGGACATCAGGGCCGGCCGGTCCCTCCCTTTGGGGGAAAAAAAAGTTTTGGCTGGCGCCCTCCGCTCAGACCGAAACGGGGTTCTGCGCCCCCTTTGGCTGCTGTCCTGGCCTCTCCCCGTCTTTGGGACGGGAGAATCTTTAGGGATTTTCCCACGCTTCTAACCCGGAAGCTGGATTAGTAAATAACAAGATGGGGGTGGGGGGGAATGAAAACATTTAAGAGCAAAGAGCATTGGGTGTGGCATCGCACCCCTTACCTGCTTTGAGAAGCACAATCTGATCATTCTGGCAGAGGTCCATGAATCCACCCATTCTCTTGGCAAACTCCACCACGTATTGGATGGCTTCCGTGATGCGGCACGCACAGTTTTCCCACATTTCCTCCATTGTCTAAGGGGTGGGGGAGAGAGAGAGAGAGCAAGAGAGAGAGAGAGAGAGAGAGCGAGAAGGTGATGAAGAAGTTTGGGTGCATCTTGAAAGACAGAGAGGAGTAAAAATTCAGAGGGGTTAAGGAACTAGTCCTGATGAGGTTCCTTAGTTGGGGTCATGAAACGTCTGCATGAAAACCATCAAACTCAAAGAGCACCAGGGACCCCACAGTCCTCCTCCTCCTTTCCAACAAATCCCACTCCTTCTACCACTGATGATGTTACCTAGTTGGGTCATGGAACATCTGCAAGGAAACCAGCCAGCTCAGAGAGCCCCAAAGACCTCACAGGGGTAAAGATTATCCAGAACATCTCTACATGATTTGTGTAGGGATCCTAGATATGCTGCTTAAAACACTTCCTTTAGTTTGTTCCTTTGTTCTGGGGCCATAATGTCCTTTTAACAGAGTGGTCCCTTCTGCCAGAAGTTGAAGTCTCAAAGATCTCATGAAGGTTCAGTGTGATGGTGACCTTCTACCAGGAGATGACACTTCTTCCAAACTTGGAACCCTAACATTCAGTTGACCGTTCATAGTGGAGAAGGCCATGGGTCTCTTGTGAAGCCTTCACAGCTTGCCCACCAAAACAGAGGGACCGGTTCTTTAAACTAAGGGTCTTCCTCTCTTGAGGATGGTGGACCCCCATCTTACCTTCTTCTGGTAGCTCCCAATTTCTTCTCGGGTGAAGGTCTCCCACCTCAGCAGCTGGAGGTCTTCCAAGCGGAGTTGACAGGTCTCGCGGTAGGACTTGAGAACGTTCTGGGTCAAGTGCTCTGCAGGAGGAAGACAACAAGATGACCACATGTCTGCTTCCACAGCCCCACAGAAACTGCCCTGGGTCTGGTCTCAGCTGCCTTGACTTCTATGGTTTCCCCTAAGCCTGATTTTGAGAGGTGGGCTCAAAACCCCAGTTCTGTCTTGAGATCCAGCCTTTCCCAGATGGAAGAAAGGGTCTTGACAGATCCCTGGAGCAGATGTCTTCTGAAGACCTTCATTCACTCACCAATCTCCATCAGCGAAGCGTGTGGACACTCCAGGAAGCTGGTGAAGCTCGGGTTGGGGTGGAAGTCAAGGGTGTCACTGGCGGCTGTCCGTTCCGCTCTGCTGACATTGGGGGACAGGTGGTCTGGTGACGCCTGCGTCTCCAAAGCGTAATAGACGCTCGTCCTGGGTTCCACCTTGATGACCCCAGCACCGTACCCCTTCTTGAAGGTGTCTGGCCGGTCTTCAGCCAGGAGGCGCTGAGCCTTGGGGAGTCCGTTAGAGTAGGCCAAGCCCGCTGTCTCATCCGGAGACGGGCTAAGGCGGGTCTGTCCATTGAGGAGAGCAGGAGAGCAGCTGCTGCCTTCTCGGAGATCTGGAGAAGGGTCCAGCTTGAGTTGTCCATTGGCCATGCCCAAGGAGAAGGTGGAACCCTCTCCACCTTGATGTTGCTGCTGCTGCTGCAGCTGTTTCTGGACCTCGGCATGGAGGCTGTCGCGTTGCTTCTTGGACATTCGGCCAAATTTGACAGCTGCAAAGAGACGACAAATGAGGGGATGGCTCTCTAGAGATGACAACGATGCAAGACACTTAAGACACGAGCAATCTGAGTTTATTCAGTAATACTTGAAGCTCCTCAACACCTCCAACCTGGTTCTTCTCCCCCTTGTCCCATTTTGCGGTGCGCCATCACCAAAGTGAGGCAAGGAACAGTGTCTCTAACTTCACTGGGACACCAGCTGCGCGATTCCCTGACGGGAGCCCTCCCTAAGGTGCACCTCCACATGGGTCTTACCGTCACGGGACATCCCGAGGCTGAGACATTTCTGCAGGCGACAGTGTTGGCAGCGGTTGCGGTTGGTGCGGTCGATCGGACAGTTTTGTTGCCGAGTACAAGAATAGGTCACGTTCACTTGCTGGCTGCGTCGGAAGAAGCCCTGGAGAGGAAGCCAAGAAGATGAACGAAGAAGATGGACCCTTAGTAGCTTCACCGGTGGCCTCCAAGACTTTGTGAAGCTCAACAGTTCAGCGGTCCATCAGCGAAGAGAGCCAAAATGGGTTCAGTAGACATTTATGGGCATCTGCTTCCAGGAAAGGGAGACCCCCCTCCTGACCCCCACCCAGGAAAGTCTTCTGCAAGGAAAAGGGAACAATGATGGCCGATGGGACTGAAGCCGACACCCAAGATCCCAGCGATTGAGGAGACTGTTCCCCACCTTGCATCCTTCACACGTGATGACCCCGTAGTGGATCCCGGAAGACTTGTCTCCGCAGATCTTGCAGGGGATCACTTCAATCTGGGCTGTGTGGGGAAAAGAAGACAAGAAGAGACTGAACTCTTGAGAGAAGCATGTGTGAAGTGTGCTTCTGGGGTGGGAGAACCAGCAAGCAGACAAGTCATATTCTAGAACAGGGGTGTCAAACTCGCCACGTCATGTGATGTGCCACGACGTATTGTGACATTTTTAGCCATTACCACCAAGGGGGTGGGGGCTATGATGCATCCGGCCCGCGGGCCGGCAGTTTGACACCCCTGTTCTAGAAGAAGCAAATAAGGGACCCCCAGATGGTCCTTTTTCTTAACTGTTGGACAAAGAAGAGGGGGTCAACCTCTTCTCCAAATCGCCTGAAGGCAGGACAAGAAGCAACAGATGGAAACTCATCAAGGTGAGAAGCAACCTGGAAACTTCCTAAGAGTGAGGACAATTAACCAGTGGAACTGCTTGCCTCCAGACGTTGTGGGTGCTCCATCACTGGAGGCTTTTAAGAAGAGATTGGACAGCCATTTGTCTGGAATGCTACAGAGTCTCCTGCTTGAGCAGGGGGCTGGACTACAAGACCTCCGAGGTCCCTTCCGACTCTTGTTATTCTGTTAAAAGTCAACTGCTAACATTAAACACCATTTCTTCAGCTCTCACCCCAAAGGCCCTGCAGTGCTCATCAGAGTCCACCAGAGGGCATCCTTGCCGCTGGCACCATTCACAAGACCTGGAAACCCTTGTGTGTGGGTGTGTGTGTGGGTGTGTCAAACAGTCAGTAAACATTCAGCAAAAGAAATGAATTATTACTGACTGTTTTTTAAAAAGATGAACTCAGACAACCTGCGGTTTGCTAAGCACTAAAGATTGTTATTCTAAAAAAAAAAAAGAAATCAATAAAATACATTTAAAAAAAAATATAGAAACAGCGTCGTTAAGTGAAACCGGGCTGCCTCGTTCAGTGTGGTTGTCCAAAAGTCACAAAAGGGGATCCCGCGATAAATGTGCGACCATCATAAACACGAGTCGGTTGCCAGGCGTTTTGATCCCGGGGCCGCGAGGTTCCAAAGGTCAAAAACGGTCCCGGGTCTCTCTTTTCCCTGCCGTTGTAACTCTGGAGCGGTCGCTAAACGAACCGTCGCAAGCCGGGGACCAGCCGTCCGCCCGCGCCATCTTCTTTCCCCATCGTCTAACCCGCCACTATCTCCCTCCGACCTCCCCGTCGTGACAAAATAACAAGTGGAAAGACCAAAAGAAGAGAAGGCAGCGCAAAACCACAACACGAGCAGCTATTTTCTCCCCTTGAGTTCAAACGCCGATACTGGTAAGCAGAGCCCGGGGGAGCCGAGTTGAGTCAGCTTTTCAGTTACTCAGACGATGCTCCTTGACGGAGCTGCCAGGAAGAAGTACTCTCACTTTTAGGCAAAAAAAAATATATACGTATGATCCTGCCGGTAAATTCGACTTTTCGACCTGAGGTCAACAGGGTGCTGCAAACAGAGATGAAGAAGCCACACACATACACACACACACACAGAGACAGCAGAGGGGGAAAAAATGAAGAGAAAGAATCGAGGTCAGGAATTGGGATGTTTTTTCATCCACCATCGAGTGTCGTCAACACGACGGCGATTACGAGGAGCGATGCTGGTCCTCTGCCATTGACGTTTCAAAAAGGAGGGAGGGGGGACTCTGGGCCCCCAGGGGCCACAAAAAGCCGCCCCCCTCCCGGGACAGCAAGTCTGGGAAGCCACAGAAGGCCCATCTCAGTCCTTCTCCTTGCAGGACGTGGTGTCAGGATTGCTGCACCAACTTTTAAATTCTGCCTCTTTGCTGTTTGGAGGGGTCCTTGGAATTTGGGGTTTTCTTGCAGACGTTTCATGACCCAACTAGGAAACATCATCAGGGCTAGAAGGGAGGAGGAGATTGGAGGAGAAGGAGAAGGATAATTTTCAGCTTGGGCATCTTCCGGTTCTTGTGGCCCTTATTTTGGAGTCAAGTCCCTAGTCCCTGTGAAGGAGAGGCTCTTGCTGGAGGTCAACTACACGCAGACAGACTGTCCCGCAGGGGTGTGTGTGTGTCTGCTCCTGGTTGCCAAACACCCTCTCCACTGGCTCTCATCCAAGGGGACGGTCCAAGGTCAAGCCAGGCCAGGAAGAGCTGACCTCCTACTCCCCATTTGTGTCGTTGGGTCTTTCGGCCTTCTCCCTTTCGAACCCAAACCGGAGAGCACCTGGCTGGCCCCTCCTGTGCACCTGTCTGCCAGCACAAAAGCCCCCCCAAACCACACCGCTTGGCAAACCACCCTGGTGCTCGGGGGGACGAAGGCCTCTGACGGAGCGGATCCGTCTCCCCCCCCTCCCCGACCCCTTCCCCTCTCGCAGCTGGGGAGGGGTGCCCACAACGTGGGGGGAGGGAGGAAGATCCGTTGACACTTTCCCCACATGAATCAAACCGAAAAGCTGCGCAAGGAGGCACACACCCCGTCTCCCCACCCCCGTGGATGAGTTACTCAGCTCTGTCGGGTGCTGACAAAGGAAAAGCTCCGGGTAGGCGCCTCCCCCCCTCTGCTGAAATAAAGAACGAGCTTGATTACCACCTAGGAAACCTCCGGGGTCTTCCCTTGCAAAGGAAAAGTGGAGGACGCGAAAGACCGAATGAAAATATTTGAAGCAAGAGCCGATCCGGAAAGGAAGCCGAAGGAGGGTTGAGTTGGCCATAGAAGCAGGGCCTGCCCAAAGACTGGCAGAAGCGATGTTGTGGGGGGGGCAGAGACCCCCAACTTTCACGCTGATGAGGGAGGGGGAGAGGCAGAGAAAGGGGTGGGGGAGGAAGGCCGTAATGATGGCGTCACTCGGGTCCTGGCAGCCCTTTTGGAAGGAAGGGAGAGAAAGAAGGGAGGGAGGAGGAACTAGAGGAGGAAGGAAAGAAGGAAGAAGAGAAGGAGAAAGGGGAAAGAAGATGAGAAGGGGGAAGACGGAAGAGAAGAAGGGAGGGAAGGAAGGGAGGGAAAGAGAAGAAGGGAAGGAAGAGGGAAGAGAAGAAGGAAAGAAGGAAGAACAGAAGGAGGAAAAGAAGAAGGCAGAGGAAGTGAAGGAGGAGGGAGGGAGGGAAGGGAAGAAGAAGAGAAGGAAGATAGATAGATAGATAGATAGATAGATAGATAGATAGATAGATAGATAGATAGATGAAGGGAAGGAAGGAAGGAAGAAAAGAAGAACAGAAGGAGGAAGAGAAGAAGGCAGAGGAAGTGAAGGAGGAGGGAGGGAAGGAGAGAAGGAAGATAGATAGATAGATAGATAGATAGATAGATAGATAGATAGATAGATAGATAGATAGATAGATAGATGAAGGGAAGGGAAAGGAAGGGAAAGGAAGGGAAGGGAGGGAGGGAGGGAGGAAGGAAGGAAGGAAGGAAGGAAGGAAGGAAGGAAGGAAGGAAGGAAGGAAGGAAGGAAGGAAAGGATCTCTATCCTATGGAGAACACCATAGCCATCTCCGTTCTCCACCGGCCTTTCCAAGGGAGCTGATTGTCACAGTTGCTCCAATTTGTCCTGGGCCATGAAGTGCAAGAATGAAACCAGCCCTATAAATAACACCACCTCTTCTTGGCAAAGCCACCCCACCCACTGGATGAGCTTCATCAACGCCTCCCACGCCTCCCGGCTCTGTAATTTGGCAGCCGGTGACCAAAATGGGGCTCTGATAGATAATATTCATACCTTCCTGCTTGGCGAGGCCGGGACCCCCAACGCTCACCGCGGCCCTGGGAAGATTTCCGAGCACTTGCCCTACACGGAGAAACTTTTTCTGTTTTTAGTGGATCTTTTCTTTTTTGTACACCCTGAACACACACATACACACACACACTGAGAGAGAGAGAGAGAGAGAGAGAGAGAGAGAGAGCTGGACATCCCTTTAAAAAGCTGGACAATGTAATTCATTTTTTCTTTCTTTCTTTCTTTCTTTCTTTCTTTCTTTCTTTCTTTCTTTCTTTCTTTCTTTCTTTCTCTTTTGTCCTCCCTTTTTCCTTCCTTCCTTCCTTCCTTCCTTCCTTCCTTCCTTCCCTGGGAGAAATAAGTCGGGGGCTTTTAAAGGGGAAGGATGGCCCTTTCCATCCGAAGCCAGCCGAAGCCGATAAAGATCTGAAGAAGCCACCATCCACCCACCCACGACTCCTTTGCCTCCCTGGTTTCGTGGCCCTGCCCTGCCTCCCAGGCCGAACACAGGGCCAGCCCCACCCAGAGCAACAAGGTCTCAAGTACCAACAGAAGAGAATCGCTTAAAGTTGATCTAGCCTAGCACTGATGTTGTTCCCTAGTTGGGTCATGAAACGTCTGCAAGAACACCACCAAGCTCAGAGAGCACCAAGGACCCCACAGTCCTCCTCCTCCTCCTCTTTGCAAACCCCACTCCCTTCTACCGTAGCACTGATGACGTTCCCTAGTTGGGTCATGAAACGTCTACAAGAAGACCACCCAGCTCAGAGAACACCATGGATCTCACAGCTCTGCGGCCTTCACTACCTCCTGCTTTCTGCAGCCACACAAGAGTGCACAACATGG